TATATCTACCCCACACACGTATCCTCTCTCTCTCTCTCTCTCTCTCTCTCTCTCTCTCTCTCTCTCTCTCTCTCTCTCTCTCTCATAACTGCATTAATAACTGCATTAGTCTGCCATCAAGGGCTCAAGCCTCCATTACTTGGTCTAAAAGACGTTTTGGATTTAGCAACGCAGACATTGAACGAGATGCGTAAGAAATTAATCCTACACACAAGAGCGTTTTAAGGACAAAAACCGGACGAATGTCTTGAAATACATCATCTGAAAAATGTCTTGAGGTGTGGTAACCGTAAATTCATATGCTATATGAATAAATGAAGCAAATAGTGCTTTATGTAAGGAATAATTGACAACGGGCCCTTGAATTACTAGAAACTAATGCACAACTGAGGTGTACCGCTTTGCGTCGTGGCAGCATCCCCAAATATTCACTATAGGCTAACTGTAAAAGCCACCGTCCTTCCGATGAGACAATAAACCGAGGTTCTGACTCTCTGTGGTCATTAAAACCCCCATGGCAGTTCTTGTATAGGGTAGGGGTGTAACCCCAATGCCTTGGCCAAATTCGCCACTGGCTTTTGTAAGTCATGGCCTCAAAGTCTCCATCCACTCAATTGGCTCTATCACTCTTTCTCCTCTCCACCTATTCATAGTTTTCACGTGACATCACACCCCAGGAATGCCCACTTGGAGGGCAAAACAAGACTTTCTTCTACTGACCGCCTGTTATTTTTACAAGGTTTGTTTTAAGTACTAATGTATTAGGACAGTGATATTAAAAGGCAAAAATCAGTATACACCTTATTGATGATGCATTATTTGTACAGGCAAGCAGATTAATCCAGAATATAAACGCAATGTGCAAAGTTTCACATTAAGTGTTTTCCCATAGAAAACCATTTTAAAGAAAACACTTAACTATTTAGAAATCACCATGTAATTTCTGCAAATGTTATTGTGCAAGTGTATTTTTGTAGTTCATTATTTTTATATTATTCATTCATATCTGAGATGTGGCAGTGGAACTTTGAAGAACGCTTGAAATTGCAAAACAATCCTGCACCCTTTCATGCCTTTTTATATAGTACACACAAACAGTATTAATTGTGTGTATGAATACCCAAAATGCACTGAGGGTCGTGGGTGAATTCCCGTGTCTCGCCAGAAGATGGCGCCCGCAGCTGAATCACCCATCCATCCATTTCCAATCTGCTGGTCTAGTGTGGGTACAGTGCAATATAATACAGGTAATATATAATACAGACTTTCAATTCTTTCCGAACACAACAAACTCACGGCTACGTTCACACTGTCAGGTTTTGGATTGACAACCGCATGTACTTCCAAGTGTGAGGTGAAATGTCCTGATCACACAGCAGCTTACATCAGAGTCTCGAATATTGTCTGTATTAATGTGCAACTAATCCCGCATTCTAATGGTGACTATCACCTGTAACCACGACTAAAGTAAATATTAAAGATGGCGACGTCCAAAACGGCAAAGCCTTATCACAGTTGGTAAGACAAATGTTCAGTTGAGGCACGATTTCCTCTGTCAAATCTTGCAGTTTTTATACCTCAGTAGGGTGGGCGGCGGAGCATTTGAGGCGCAGACCACAAAACTGATGGGAGCAGCTCCGATGGAGGACAGTGACTGAATTTAAAACTTCAGATGACACACAGCTCCTATCTCCATCTCTGTAAGAGTGTTGCCAACTTAGCAATTATGTTTCTAGATTTAGCAACTTTTCAGACTACCCTAATATTTTATTTAAAAAACACCTAGCATCAAATTTAGCAATTTTTAAAATTTGTCAACTTCTAGCAACTTTGGAAAAATGACTGAAATGATAAAAAAAGGCCATGTATTTCCCTTCTAAATTATAGAAGAACATTCTAACCAGCCAAGCAGCACATCAGCCTAGAGAGAGCTGGAGAAAGGTACCTAGCAATACACACATTGTTCATTTATATGATAGACCTTGTTATTAGCTTGTACCTATAATTGTTGATCAGTTAGATACACTGTAAGAAAAAAAGGGTAGAAAAACAGAAAAGATACTGATAATTTTCTGCCAGAAAATTATCATTAAGTTTACAGACATTTTCTGTAACCCTAAAACTCAAAATGC